AGTGCTGGTCGGCGATGAAGGCGGCGATGAAGAACAGCATGACAGCCAGCTTTCAGGAGATGATGACGCCAGAGACGGGGATCTCACAGACCGAGCACCGGCTTCGATATCTCGAGCGCAACATTGATGCCGCCATGCCTCGCATCACACCCATCATGTGCATGCACGCTTGCAATCACGTCCAAAGGCACTTCGCTGGGTGTCTGGCACTCATGGACTTGGCGATGGGCGTGTGAGCGCTACACTCGTAGTGCAATGATTATCGGATTGCATGGAACGAGAACTACCGGGTGCGGCCGGGGGAGGCGGTCACGGTGCCAGGTTTTCCGCGGCCGCTCCAATGTGCCGCACCGGGGGCCAGCATCGCCCATGAATTACCGTAAGAATGTAAACAGCGCACTTGTTGTCAATGAATTACACCGACATTTATTGGTATTGAGCATGATCATTGATGTTTGTACCGTACCAATATACGATGGCATTGGTTTCCCACAGCGATATTACCTCCTGCCCGGTCAGGGTTTTTGTCTTCGTCCTGGAAAGAATACAAATAAAGACGATATCATTTGGTATTTGATTTTACATTTTCTTCTTGAAATCATAAGCAAATTGATCACTCATTGGCAATCATTTGCGACACTAATAGCTTTCTGCAGTTCGTATATTCTGCGGTCTTTCAAGCGTTTTAAACTGCATTTCAATTGTTTTAAAATGCATTTCACAAAGATTAATTTGGATCTCAACTGTTTTAATATGGGCTTCACTTGTCTTAAATTGGATTTCACTTGTTTTAATTTGGTCTTCAGTTAGATTAATTTGCGCCTAAAAAGGTGTAGAACTGAATTAATTCGGTATCTTATTGAAAATCATGTGACCAACTGATAGATCGATGATTTCTGATGTCTTGTGACAATGCCGATATGTCGCTGTGCAAACGTTTGAATTGACCTGATCTTGTGTGTACCTAACAACACTGTACTGAGATTTTCGCCTACGTTGTTGGAGCTACTGTACTAATCACCGAATACGTATGAGTGTGTGTGTGTGTGTGTTTGTGTGTTATTTACATTTCCCTGTAATGCCCACCATCTGGTGGTTAGTGGAAATAAACGAAGTAATAATAATAATAATAATAATAATAATAATAATAACCAGCCACGGCAGCGCGGCCAGAAACAAAGTGCAGAAGCACCGCTGAACAGGTCCAGGGGGTAGGTATAAAAGAAGCAACAATGTTCAAAGCCAGACAAAGGCTGCTGCCCACGTGTGTCTGTGGGAGTGACATAATGTCATCATGTGTGTTACATAGATACTGCAATCTATGTATCAGATCTAAGGGCGAGCTGACAGGGAAGTGGGGAGGGGGTGCAGGATGAGAGCACAGTGGCTATGAATGTTTAAGTTTATTAGGAAAATAATTTGAGGATACAGAAAATAAAAAGAAAAATGAGATTATGAATGTTGAGGAAAGCAAACAATGGCTGTGTGGCGTGCTTTCAAGCTTATCATATGTAACTTCCAATAGCTAAATATTGCACAAATGTAGGCAACCCAATAGATGGATTTTATCGTAGATTTGATGTGAACCTATCCGATTAAGAGAAGCAAGTTGCACACGTAGCCCAAACAGCACACCTAGTCAGATACCGCATCATGGTGCCAGTAAGCAAGGAATAGTGCCCACTCACACCAAACACAAGTTTTAACATGGTAAAATGACCCATCTGCCAGGTAAAGCACACGGCCGTTCCGTGCTTCCATCCTCAGGATACTGAAATCCTTCTCCTCCACGCCGCAACCCCCCTCCGGGCTGGACAGGCAACTTTATCTCATGCGGGCTGCTCCCTTGGAGCGGCACCGCTGCTCCCGAGGGAGCGCACCCCGTAGCCGGGTGCAGTGAGTGCCTTGGGGCTGGGTGGCCTGTCATCTGGACGGGCTCAGCCCCGGCCAAGGCCCTATATAGGGTCGTCCGGCGATTCTACCTGATCGTGACGTCAGCTTGTGACGTCATCTGGGGGCAAGTCTTGAAGCCCCGTTGGAGTCCCATGTAAATGGGCGATTTTTGAAGCACTGTCGAACAAACTCTGTTGGAGCTAGCACAAAACTAAGTGCATCATCGGAAAGACGAGACATTTTTCTTTGAATTATCTAGGAGCAGTTTTTCAATAAACCCATTAGTTTTTCCGAAAATGCGTAAAAACGCCCCCATGCCTCCGCAGCCTCCCTTCCGCCGGCCGCTGCGCCGCCGCGGTAGTGTAGTGGTTAGGATGCTTGCACCGTGATCCAAAGGTCGTGCGCTCGAATCTAGGCGCGGGTCGGACTCAAATCGAAATTGCAAGCGGAATATGTGTTTTTTCTTAAAAAATCACTTATATTACAGCTAACCATTCCTAAAACTATCGATAACAATTGACTGAAAGCCAAAATAAAGATTACATTCTTATAAAACAAATTCAAATATGGCGGCCGTTGCGCTAGGCTCCGCCCCCGACTCCGCCCCTTCGTGTGACGTCATCTGTGCACTTGGACACACAGGGAGATAGGGGACGACATGGGCCTGGCCCCGGCGACTCACTTGGGTGCCTGCCCAGACCAATGTCTCCCCCTATATCCTATCATCCTCCCGGCTCTGAAATGGTCTCATTGGACCGAAAGGGCCTAACCCAACAAAACAATAGGTAAAGGACTTGGGCAACATGCACCCGGTGCTCACTCACACTCCATACAGATTAAAACAGTAAAATGACCTTTTTGCCAGGTCAAGCACAAGGCCAGCTCCAAGGGGCTCCATGGCGCCTGTGTGTGCCTAGTGCTCACACAGGCGCCATGGAGCTCCTTGTGCTCACACAGGCTCACCTGACTAGTGAACTGACCCGACCTCACCAAAATGCATGAAGACATAATCTGTGATCGCAACCAGTGGCGCAGCCAGGATTTCATTTCGGGGGGGTCATCGCCTCCAAAGCGGGCCCCCTAGTGTGCGGGCCCCCCACCCATTTTTCAGAATCTCTCCATATTTCATGCACATTCTGCTGAGCGGGCCCCCTTTACCTGCACGATAACCCTGAGCGAGTTTGAATCAGAACATTTGGCTAGAACAATATGCTCGGTAATCACCCGGTGTTCCATTTTTACGCAAATTGACCACGACAGAAATATGTTACTATGACGTAAGAATTCGTATCTTTCGAGGCCGAAATGTGCCCCTTGCAATCGGAACTGTTGCCTGCTTCTGTCGGGCAATACCTATTTAACTGCCTGCCTAACTGCCTAACTGCCTGCCATGTGCCTGTTCCAAGTCATCCTTGGCTGCTGTAGTAGATTGTGCCTTTATTCTTCTTCATTGCGTGAATTCGCTCACAAGAAGTTTTAAAGGGACTATCCCACTTTTAACATGGGGTTTGAGTTGAGATAGCCAAGTTTGCGGCGAGGTTCAGAAACCACTATCTATCTAGGTTGCAACCCCCGCGGCCTCTTGGTGTTGAAGAAATTCGTTCCCTTCATTTGAAAATGGGCCTTGTACAAGGCCCTATCTTCAACATGGAGCGACCGTTAGTGTGACGTCACCTCGTTTAGTCATTCTGATTTAAATGGGTTTGTTCGTTGAAAAATCGCTTAAAACTTGGTCTGAACTTTGTTGTGGTACCTACAGAGTAAAAAGAATCAGCTTTATGACAGTAATGTGGCCTAAAGAAGGAGGTAATTTTGGGCTGTGACGTCACATATTTGAAAGTTTGTGTTTGGAATATGGGAAGCATAAGATGTTTAATGAAAAATAAATGCCAGAACCGTGTTCCTGGTCATCCAATCTATAAAGTCGGGCACAATTTAACTGGTTTTAACAACATTTTAGAAGGTGGGATAGTCCCTTTAACTCTCGCGGCACAGGGGGGAAGGGGCTGTCAATGTAACCCTCCTAAAGTTTTTTTTCGCAAATAACTTGCGTAAAAAGCGGCTGATCGCGACGTAACTTTCAGTATTCTCGCGTTGATCAATTTTACACTTACCCTAGAAATTTTATGACCCTGACCCAAATGACCTAAAGGTCATTTGTCAATTCAAGGGTCAATTCATGGGCAAATTCCGACCTAAAAGTCGGAAAGTAGGCCAAAGTTGGCCTACTTTCCGAGACCATGTTTGGCCAGAATCGCGGTTCGGCGCATGCCGGCTCGCATTAGCGGCGCGTTTGCAGTTCTTTCGTGGTTTCAAGCGTTCAAACATGTGATTTGATGTTGCTCCCATGCATAGGGGGGGATATCAATGTCACCTGAAGGTCAGGTCAGGTCATTGGCCTATGACCAGTACACTTTTTCAAGCTATGCATGTTTCTAGGCTAGTTTTTGTTTAGCTGAATTCGAATTTAGCAACCATTTGAACATTTAAGTAGTTTTGGTGCCTTCGTAGCATGTTACGAAGCTGTCAGAGGCGGTTGACACGTATGAACTACGAATACCCGTCACGATCCCTACTGGTTGACCTGACCTGACCTGACCTGACCCGACCTGGCCTAAATGCATAAAGACATCATCTGTGATCAAAACTTACATGATGTTCGTGATCAGCACCCCGAAAAGCCCTATAGCAGCCACATTTTACGACGTTCTAACAGGTCAAGATTTTCCCGACTTTTGGGGGTCATTGACCTGACCTGGAAGGTCAACCAATGACCTAGGACCTTTAAATTGGGAATCATCGGCTTCCTCTTGTCACGGGCAGCACGCTCGTTTTTTCCTCAAAGTTCTAGCTCGATCATGGGCCAAACGCGAGGGGGTCGTAATTGTGCCGTCGAAGGACGCAAAATGGCCTGTGCCGGCGAGGGTTAACGCGCTCACGAGACATGTATTTCCTTGGGCCGGGTTTCTTGTGGTGTGATGATGTGGTGACGTAGATTCTGTATGTTACCGTGGTCCCGACATGGTGTTACTTAGCGCGGGGTAGGTATAGGCTAGAGGGACCGTTGCACCCAGTGCGCTGAACTTTGCGCAACCGATGGAACAAGGATGGGCAACGTGCCTGTGAGGGGTCTCAGCTCAATCGGGCCGGTGGTGAGGACATGGCGCCTGCTCAAAAAGTGTACATTTGCGTCATAGACTTTACATGTATAAATCGGCTCGCAAAATCGGGCGAAAATAGCTAAATTTGCCCGACACGGGTCCGGTCCCCGTGCAGTATCTCGGTAACCGTGGGTCCGATCGGCACGGGGAGCACAGTATCGTATATGATAATCGAAGGGCTATCGAATGGTGTGCGGTGCAGGGATGGCACGTGCCAAGTGCACCCGTAAGGGCACTTATGCTTGAAAAATGGACTTTTGGACTGATTTTGGACTTAATGCTATTTTCGGGTGACTGTCAGACGGAGCGGGTTCAAACAACGCCTGTTGTCAAGAAAAACGTACCGCCTCTCATGGAAAAATTGTGAAAAGCTAATTGATCAAAAACAAGGTGGAACAAATCGCTGAAGAAAATGACATTTGTTCATGACTTACCTACTTAATTACACGGGTTTTGCTGCATAAACTGGTACGTTTGACAATTGAAAATAGCATAATGAAAAGAGCATTCAATGTTGTCCAAGATCCATTCATCGCTTTTGCATGAAGAGCTACAATATTCTTAAAAATATAAACGTTTCAAACCTTTACATAGTAATTCATCGATGGCCTCCATTTTTCAATAGGTAGCCTACGTCAACCTATGTTATAAAATATACTTGACATGTTCTATAGTAGAACGTATGGTTACCAGACACGAGCACCTCGATGCGATGGATATTTTTCCCCAAAACCAAAATACTTAGCCGTCAAAAGGCAATCGACCGAAATGGATACATAACCCACGGACACAAGACCAACCAAACGCCCACCGATCGAAAATACCCCTTATTCGCGTTGCGGAGCAAGCGGGTCGCCCTAGGGCCGGGGGCCCCATTCACCCGAGGGCCCGGGCCCTATCCACACGGGGGCCCGGGCCCTATCCACACGGGGGCCCGGGCCACGTCCACCTGGGCTCCGGCCCCCATCCACCCGGGACTCCGGGCCCGTCAACCAGGGGGCCCGAGCCCCATCCACCCGGGGGCCCGGGCCCCATCCACCCGGGGGGCCAGGGCCCGTTCTCCCAAGGGCCCGGGCCCCATCCACCCGGGGATCCGGGCCCCGTCCACCCAGGGCTCGGGGCCCGTTCTCCCAGGGCCCGGACCCCATCCACACAGGGGGCCCGGGCCCGTTCTCCTGGGGGCCCGGGCCCGTTCTCCCGGGGGCCCGGGCCCCATCCACCCGGGGCCCGGGCCCCATCCACCCAGGGGGCCCGGGCCCGTTCTCCCGGGGACCCGGGCCCATCCACCGGGGGCCCCGGGCCCCATTTATCCGGGGCCCGGACCCGTTCTCCCGGGGGTTCGGGCCCCGTCCACCCGGGGCTCGGGGCCCGTTCTCCCGGGGACCCGGACCCATCCACCGGGGGCTCCGGACCCCATCCATCGGGGCCCGGGCCTTATCCACCGGGGGGCCCGGGTCCCATCCACCCAGGGGGCCCGGGCCCGTTCTCCCGGGGGCCCGGGCCCCAGGCCGACCCCTCACCCGTGGTGTCCCAGTAGGCATTTCTCGAAGCGGGCTCGTCCAATTAGATTAGGACCTCTCTCCTCTCTCTCTCTCTCTCTCTCTCTCTCTCTCTCTCTCTCTCTCTCTCTCTCTCTCTCTCTCTCTCTCTCTCTCTCTCTCTCTCTCTCGAGCGGGCCCCCGACAGAAATTTCGGGGGGGTCAGCTGACCCTCTGACCCCCCCCTGGCTGCGCCACTGATCGCAACTAACATGACATTCGTGATCAGCACCCCGGAAAACTCCATAACAGCCACGGTTTACGACATTTTGACGGGTCTAAATTTTTCCGACTTTTGGGTCATTGACCTGACCCGGAAGGTCAACCAATGACTTAGGACCTTAAAATTGGGTATCAACTTCTTCCGCTCGTCACGGGCAGCACGCTCGATTTTTCCGCGAAGCTCTAGCTCGATCAAGGGTGAAACAGCAAGGGGAGGTCCAACGGACCCCCCCCCCCCCTTATACGTTCGCGTCTAGTAAAACACCAATACGGGCGAGGGTTAACATTAGTTTTGAGTTGAGATCGTCAAATTGGGTTCCCTGGCTTGCAGTTACCGGTTTGGGCACTCACTGCATCGAGAAATGCCTTATTTCCGAGATATTAAAGTTCAAAGTCTGCAGTTTTCGGACTCTGAGAGGCTAATGCATTGGAATGCTCCCTTAGAATTTGTGATGTCAGCGCAGATCTTAAGATTTTTAATGCTTTTACTAAGCCTTTTAGTAAAACGTGGTGGTATATGGGGCATTCCACGATAGATCGTACCACTTTTTTCCAATTTGACACCCTCATCTCTTGGAATTTGACGAGAATTGGTCTCTGGGGTAATCAGGGGCTCTGAATCCACCTGTAACAATATCAGGCTTATCAGATAAGTATTTTTTGAGCTATGGTGTATAACATTTTTTGGATCTTGCTTTGCAGCGCTAAGTTTGGCGGGCTGTAACTCTAAGACGGATTATTCAAATGCCAAATGTTATATAACATTGAACTTGCAATGAAACAGAGATTAATATGTATTTTTTAAATTTCGAAATATACGCTATTTTTGATATATGACATATCGAGTTTTCTTTCATTTGTATTTTTCGGACTTTGGGACCAAATTTTTTTGAATTTCTATGTCTTTAAAAAGATATTTGGCTCATTGTTAAGAAGTATGCGAAAAATTAGGAAGGTGTTCTTTCTATAAATGTATTTATTTTACGTCACGATAACTGGCTCGAATAGTGATTTCGAGAGGAGAGCTTACAAATGGCGTGGTAAAGCTGTCTAGTGACATCACGGGTTACTGAAATTTCAATTCAAGTCTGAGTCATCTGAAAAAGTGAAAAGAGGGTTCATTCAACCCTCTTTCCTATAAGCGCGAGGGTGAAAAAGGGTGTTTGGTTCTGACATTGTTTTGTACGCCAATGACCATAGCTGTCAGAGATGAAAGTTACAGGACGCATATATGGTGTCCTCCAGAGGTCTCACAACTTGTATATCTGGGAATTTTTCAAGGTTACATGAGATCAGGTCGGTCACGTGACATCACTGTAATAAATCAATCGGGAAATATAAAAACTGTTATTTTGGCGCCGAGAATGATCTAAAACTATCCCACGTACATGGTATCGTGATTTCATGCACTCCTTGCAAAGTCCAATGCTTTACTTTTGCATTGGTAGCCTTGCGTGACGTCATTTATGACGTCACTAGGGTCGTACGAGTTTTTCGTCATTAACTCCCGATCAAATAGAGCTAGAGAGTCGGGAAAGCCACCAATGGACTCGGGAAGACCTTCCGAATCGAATGATATGCCATATGATACCCTTTGCCCAGCTTCGTGACCTGAGGGGCTCTGACCTGACCTTGACCCGAGGTCAACTACTTAAGTTGACCTCACCCTAGCAAAAAGTATACCATTCGATGCACCTGAGCTAGGCGAACACAATGATGCCAAAATCGCGGCTCTGCGGCCATTTTTTGCGAAGTTATTTACTAAAAACCGAACCCGTAACTTCAGTCACGTGACCTGACCTCAGACGCTACCGGTTAACCTGAGACCTTAAAATCGGGTACCAATCGCTGCGACTTGTAACGCCACACACGCCCGTTTTTTTCCGCGAGGCTCTAGCTCTATTAGAAGCGAAACGGCGTGCTGGGGTCGTATCAACCCCTCCGAAACCCATTTTGTTTGCGGGAAAATGAGGAACTTATAGAGAGAACACCTTTCTAATTTTTTGCATGTCGATTTGCAATGACATGAAGATTATTTTGAAAAAATAAGAATGTGAAAAATTTTGGTCCCAAAAGTCGTTAGAGGCAAATGAAAAAAGGTTAAGGTTTTTGCTCAACAATGAAATTTTTTCTTTGGAATTTTTGAATAGTAGTATTAATTTTTGATTCATCGCAAGCTTAGTGTTGTTTACTTTTTGTTGGTTGCTTTACCCGTTCTTGAGTTATAGGCCATCAAACTCACCGTTACATACCGAAGCTAAAAAAATGTAATGCAATATAACTCAAAAAGTTTTGATCTGAGAAGTCTGATATTTTGCCAGGCGTCTTTGGGGCCTATGATTACCCCTAGGACCGATTTTCATTAAAATCTGAGAGATGAGGGTGACGGGCCTGGTACGATCTATCGTGGAATGCCCCATATACTGCTTTGCACACAATACCTGCCGCACTTTTAGGATGCCAAATTATTATTCCCAAATGACGTCATAGGAGCAGCGGAGGTCCCCAACAATACAGAATAGTCTTGACCTTCGCCCCAGTGGGGGGAGCATGTGTTACCACCCTGTTGCGTTTTTTGCGTGTGAATAAAAAAACCGCGGCGCATAGCGCCGCGCCGCTTGGAGTAGCTTTTTTGTACATCAATTTCAGTAGGCGGAACTATGGTCAAGCGTACCCATTTTCGGGAACGCATTTTCGTTCCCATGTTTGGGAACGATAAACCCAAATATGGGAACGCCATGTAGGCATTATTTAAAACAAGAAAAAGAACCGTTAAATGACGTCCAAAAAATATAAAACGATCGTGAACCGCCTGATATTTGTCTCAATATTGTTGGGAAAGAGTTTGATATTGTAAGGCCCATCGTAGTTTCAAATCGTTCCCCTATTTCTAAAGCAGTCCATCAGCCGGGCCGCGAGCCCAAATTTGGGAACGCTCTCGTACACTGGCGCTGCTCCTTATTATGGGAACGGCGTACCCAAAATTGGGAACGATTTCACCGACGCCTTTCAGGGGCTCTTTTCATTAACAAGCATCACGTCCAACGCCGCAAATTATTGTTAACGCAACAATCATCAGAAGACCTTTCCGGCAAGACCGTCGCATGTTTCGCCCGGTCTTCTGCGCTTTTATTCCCGTCGATCTCGCAGCGGGCACGCCCCCCCCCCCTCTGCAGGATTACGTAATTCACAACGCTCAGCGATGTTCAACAAGGTCTTCCATACCTATATTCACCGTCCGCGCCGAGGGTGGAGACATGTCAAGCACCTGTCTGTTTAACACCGATAGTTGACGAGCACAAGGAAGTATCCAAAAATGGGAACGCTGAATATGTTACACCCTAAAAACACCTAGTCCCAATGAAAATCTAGTTTTTTCCTTTCTTAATGAGTGTAAGTGGCAAAAGGCCTGGTAGGATGGGCACGAGGAATGATTGAAATCAGCATAAAAATTATAAATAAGCCACACAGAGCGACCTATATAAGAGAAATTCCCCCAAAACGATCATGCTTAGAAACGCCGAAGACAAAAACCACGCTCATGACGCTGCTTATAAAACAACGCTAAACAGCTAGCATCCAAATAAAAATGTCTTTCGGGGCTGATAAAATACAGCTGAATGATTTTAAACCACTGAAACTGAGTTTACGACAGTAGCTCGGTAAAATCACTGACGTTCCACGCGGTCGTGCGCCCCGACACCAAAAATCAACAATATTACCTCGGGACTGTTCGCGTGTTCGCTTGCATATGTCAGCATCTGGTGTCGCTAGTATGAAACTTCATAACCAGGCGAAAATTATTATACTTGACCTCAAAATGTAAAAATGCTTCATTTTCCTTAAAATTGCATGTTAAATGTAGTATAACCCATGTTTTCACCATTCCGTCATTTCAAAAAATCATTAAAAATATCATTCGACGGTCAATTTCCTTGTGCAACGGTCAGATTAAAGATAATTTTATAGAGACTTAGTAGATACTTAAATTAGCGTGCACTTTTTTGAGACGTGATGCACTAACGAGTTTTAGTGGGCGAACGGCCGAAAAATTATCTTCCGTTCTCATAAATGGGAACGCCCGTTCCCATATTTGGGAACTCCGTTCCCAAAAATGGGAACGTTCCTATATTTGGGTACTCATGACCATAGTTCCACCTACTGATTTTGGACAATGTGTGAAATTTTTGACCCCAGGTCATGTCAGGTCAGGTCACCAGGTCAAGTTAACTAACCAAGCAAAAAAAAAAAAAAAATGCAATCATGTCCAGCCTGCAGTGTTTGTCAGAACAGAAAGATTTTAAACTTGGTGGATTGCATGATGTTATGGGCGCCTATAATTTGAATATCTCGAATTTTTATATCCGTGACCTAAGGTCAGGCCAGTGGCGTGACCTTACCATTATATGTCAATGGAGAAAAATGAAAATACCTCTAGATCCGTGTGTACGCATAGGAACAGTCCAAATATTTCAGAATAACAATGATTTGAACCACCCGTGACGACCAAGGTGTTTTTTTTTTTGCTGATCAGCCTCTAGAAAGGTCATCCGAGGTCATTTGAGGCTACAAACAGATTTTTGCCAATAACTCGCGATTGGAAAGAGATAGAACGCTGGGGACGGTCTCATTGTGTTTGTCTTGCCGAGACGCATCGATTGATATGCAACATGACCTTTCCGGTCAGGTCAGACCTGAGGTCAAATTTTCCAGTTGACCTTTCAAGGTCAAATTATAATTCATTCGACGCGTCTCAGCGAGAGGAACATGATTCTGGCAATAGAAATGTCATGGCGTTTTTTGGTCAAAAGTTATTGTCGAAAAACACTTTTCATAAAAAACAGCTATTTTGTAGTTTTGCCCTTTGGAGGCTAAACCGTTGACCTGAGGTCAATTTTGATGATGACCCTATCGAAAGAAGAGTTCAAAAGCTATCGATTACTTTTACATGTGTTTTTCTAGCTATGATAGTTCCTGAGATAAATGAGATAAATGTTTTCTAAAAAAATATAATGTTATTTGGCAAATTTTGACCTTTGATGAGCTCCAGTGACCCCAATATTGCTCTAAGATGAAAAATGATCGAAATACTTTCAAACATACGCATTGAGAACTATCGACTTCTTTTTACCACGCCTTTCTAGCCCTCTTAGTTTTTGAGTTAGAAGTGGGTGGTAACTTATGCCCCTCCCCCCACACACACACTAGGGCGAAGTTGGCTGAGACCGCCACTGGGGCGCGGGTTAATAGCGTTTTATCTTGAAAACTGGTGAATATTTTTTCTGTCAAAATTGGTTGATATTTATTTTTGCTTATTCTGAACCACGGTACATCACTTTTACGCCAATTCATTAGCTTTTTGAAGGTGGGAGGGTTCCTATAAGTAGCATATTGATATTCACGAATATCCAACTAAGAATTTGACATTCGGACGGGGAACGCAATAACTCATTAACCAATCAGCCGATTTCAATGATAACGCGCTCACTGCATTCCCCGTTCCTCAGCGCAGGTTCACAAGGACCTGAGGAAGGACCGTACGCAGGTTCACAAGGACCTGAGGAAGGACCGTACGCAGGTTCACAAGGACCTGAGGAGGGACCGTACGCAGGTTCACAAGGACCTGAGGAAGGACCGTACGCAGGTTCACAAGGACCTGAGGAAGGACCGTACGCAGGTTCACAAGGACCTGAGGGGAAGGACCGTACGCAGGTTCACAAGGACCTGAGGAAGGACCGTACGCAGGTTCACAAGGACCTGAGGGGAAGGACCGTACGCAGGTTCACAAGGACCTGAGGAAGCACCGTACGCAGGTTCACAAGGACCTGAGGAAGGACCGTACGCAGGTTCACAAGGACCTGAGGAAGGACCGTACGCAGGTTCACAAGGACCTGAGGAAGGACCGTACGCAGGTTCACAAGGACCTGAGGAAGGACCGTACGCAGGTTCACAAGGACCTGAGGAAGGACCGTACGCACGTTCACAAGGACCTGAGGAAGGACCGTACGCAGGTTCACAAGGACCTGAGGAAGGACCGTACGCACGTTCACAAGGACCTGAGGAAGGACCGTACGCACGTTCACAAGGACCTGAGGAAGGACCGTACGCAGGTTCACAAGGACCTGAGGAAGGACCGTACGCAGGTTCACAAGGACCTGAGGAAGGACCGTACGCAGGTTCACAAGGATTTTCAGGTCACTGGGTTATGAACTGCAGGGCGAAAGTGAAAGTCAAAGGACGGGGAACGCTCTACAGCCTAAATTTACTGTCTGATTGGCTTGCAATAGGTCTCAATCGATTCCCCGACCCCGATTCCAATTTACAAATATTCAAAATATATATAAAAATATAAGTCACTAGATTATGACCTTCAAGGAATCGGGGCTGGGGAATCGATTGAAACCATTTGTAAGCCAATCAGACAGATACTTTAGGCTGTAGAGCGTTCCCCTACATTTGACCTTAATTTGAGCTTGGAGGTCATGGCCTTTTGACCTGAAGATCGTTGCCGGCAAGAATCGGAGTCGAGGGATCGATGGAGACTATTTGTAAGCCAATCAGACAAAAACTTTTGGCTATAAAGCGTTTCCCGTTAACATTGACCTTAAAAAGGTCATGACCTAGTGACCTAGAAATCCCTGTTAACCTGCATTTAGGAATGGAGGATCCAATGAGTGTCTACTTGCCAAAAACGGTTTCTGAGTTATTGCGTTCCCCGTCCCCCGTATCAAATTCTTAGCTGGATATTCGCGAATATCAATCTGCAGCTTAATTGATGGACGTGGCAGCTAGTAGAACTCCACTTGGTGCGCTAACCTGAACTGGCGCGTGCCGGTTGCGTTATGTCCGCGATCAGCGGCCGTCCAGCTCCCTCAGCTCTCACGTTGGCCGCGCTGCCGCCGTCCAGCTCCCTCAGCTCCCACGCTGCGTCGCACTGCCGCCCGGTAGCTGCAGACGCAGAGGAGCCGCGCGGCTGCCGCGGCGCGGCGCGCCCACCGCCCACCGCCGCAAACCAGACGTCAACGACGCAACGCCCCAGCGGCGCAGCAGCCAATAACGTAAGCAAGCGCTGCAGGAGCCTGGCGTCCCGGTGGCGGCTGTGCGAGCGGGTGGCCGCGGCCACCGCTCCGTGCGGCCGGCGGCGCATTGCGCAATGGGAGAGACTCCATCCGCGCAACAGCTGCAGCCAAGTTGTCAGCGTACTCAGAGTCACGGGCAGACAGCCTGTTATGGCCTCCGGCTACCGGCGGATCCAGAGGGGAGTGGGCTGGCAGGGGCTTGAGCTTCACTTCCATTTCACTCCAAAAGGGGCGGCAATATAAATTATATAATTCAGCGTGGATTAGGCTTACATAAGCAGTTGTTTATTTGTTTATTTCTCTAAAAACAACCACAGGCCAATGCCCAGTTACGGCTGCAGTCAAAGTTCCACACAAACACCACACACACGCACGCACACGCACGCACGCACGCACGCACACACACTTAGCACACGCAAGATTGGGCCCTGGTCTGTTGTATGGTTTTAGTTTCGTTAAGCGTGATTGCCCATGTTTCTCCGTATTTGCAGATTTTGTCCAGGTCGCGTTGTAACGAGAGTTGTGTTTGTTGTAATGTTGCTGATGAGTGAGATGCGTGTAATGATGTGTCGTCCACGAAAAATAGCATAACGTTGTCGGTGCGGTCAGAAAGGTCGTTCAGGTAAATAAGCGCTAGTAAAGGTCCTTAAACTGATCCCTGGAGACAGCCTGCGTTGATTTTGCGAGAATGAGAAACAGCATTTTGAATTTTCACTTGTTGCGTTCTGTTGTTCAGGTAAGAGTTGAGCCATTGAAGAAGTTTACCAGAGATTCCAAATTCATGTTGACATTTAAACAATAGTCCTTGTGCCAGATTTTATCAAAATATTTTGAAATGTCTAGGTAGACTGCAGTAAAGTCGAGGCCGGAATCAAGAGATTGTACAAGTAATGGGTTAAGTAGTGTAATTGGAGTTCAGTGCTGTGGTTCTTGCGATAGCCACTTTGTTTCTCTGTTAGAAGGGAATTGCTCGTAATGTGAGTGTAAATGTTTTTTGATTTTTTTCGAAGACCTTGGAGACTGCTGATAAAATGCTTATTGGCCGGTAACTTGTTGGATCTGATGGTGAGCCCTTGTTTTTGAATATCGGTTTGATAACAGCTGTCTTGAAAGCTTGAGGATATATAGGTACCCAAAGAAAGAGGTGTGCAGTGATCGATGAGATGTCTGTATGTCAAACTGAGTTTCAATGTATTAGCCAGGGGCGGTTCTCCCATATAGGCAAGGAAGGCAGTGCCTACGTCATTCGTCGTCTTCCTTTTGTCTCCACTCTCCCTACCTTGAGGCATTCGTTTGTTTGCTTGCATAGGGGAGAGTGGGGCACATTCGTGCATGGGGCACATTCGTTTTCAGCAGTTTATGGGAACACGAGTGACTGCACGAGCTCAAGGTAAATTATGGAATTATGTCTATCATTGCCGCCCTTCGTTCACCGTAGAAGACAACACTGTACCTGCTGTCATGCTTGATAAAAACGCAAATTTGTAATATTCGTGAGCTTTCCAAACTTTTCTCATATCATCCATTTTCGTGATCCTGACTCGGAAATGTGGTTCAGCTTTTCAAAATTGGGGGTGAAGAAGCCCACTCTATTCACGGAACTGCTGCAAACTTGTTTGTTGAAAAAGTGTCATTTTTTCAAAAAGAAATTTTGAAATATATTACTAATAACGTTGTGGGGAAGGTTCGTGTACGCACTGCTTGGGGGCACATTCGTGCATATTTTTTTAGTTTTTGCGATTTATGACTTAATCTGTAGTAGGTTTCTCTAAGGACGCTCGCCTGACTCAGTCTCGACTGCTTGCGACGTCGTGACGAGCAATTCACGCGAACTTGGCGAGGTCACGGAGGCCGGCAGTTGGCACATTCTTGTTGGCCAGCCCATTCTTTCTACATTTGTTGTGCAATGCATTCTTGTCGAAAGGAATCAAGTGAAATGACCCCCTGCGAATTTCCTGTGGTAAATTTCTGGTAATGCCCGGTAATTTCTCGAATTTTGCCGGGTGAACGGAAGTGCCCCATCTCTTGAACGAATGTGCCCCATAGGTGGGGCAGTTTCGTGCAAATGTTCAGAGTTAATAAAAGTCATTTTTTCTAATGGAAGCAATAATTTTATAGGATAACTTTTAAAGAGGAAAACTAGGGGAAGTTGGGGGAACGCCGAAGACTTTTTTTCTGACGCCCGTAGCACGCAAGGTAGACAACATAAGCTATTCTTATTGGCGTCATTCGAGAGGCCAGTCTTTTGCCTTTCAAACATACCAGGCGCATTTGATGAATTCGCAAACCGTTAACCGCACAAACTAAAAATATCAAAGAAGTGACTTTTTCGGCGTTGCCCCGGACTGCGGGGAAAGCCGAAAATGGGAGAAATGATCTACGGGGAATGCCGACATTGATGTTTTGCCATTTTATCTCAAACTTTATCCAGAATTCATCAAAGCTGACACGCGTTTTAAGAGCTTGAGGACGCGGTGCACACTGGAAGTTATAATCGTGTGATATAATAAGAAAATGCCAGGTAAATCATTCCTTATAGGTAACAGGCCGTTGTGTCGGTTGAAAGTGTAATTTGTGTGACTAAAAATACGCGTTGCTATTCTACAGTAGTAAAGTCCACGTAGCGTGCTTTTAACACGTGCGTAATCGCACGTTTTCGGCATTACCCCAGCCAGCCATACTTTCATTTGCAGGCCCATAACTTTTCAACGTGCTGTATAAATTTCAAATAGGCAGCACACTTATGCAAAGACATGCTAAAGATTACTTGACCGCATTGGCCAGACAAACGGTAGCATAATGAGTAAGAAATGCAGCTTCAAAGGCGCATGTGGTACAAGGGAAACGTACCTTGAAAGCGCTCTTGGCGCCCTCACAGCCGAAGTATTCCGAATGACGACTCGTAACAAACATGCGATAATTGTAGTCACTTAAGCTTCAGAGCATCACTGACAGGTGGCATCCATGTCTTACGGTTTTCGAAATATCTCGAATTTCGGCTTTGCCCCAACTCCGGCATTGCCCCAACTTCCCCTATCTGCAATAGTTCCTTTCCATACTACAATCAACAATTTTGCCATTGCACTAACCAAAGAACAGATATATGGGTTTATCCATTTTTTGCACGAATGTGCCCCACTCTCCCCTAGTTTGGGTAAGTCATTTTCTGCACTTAAGAAAACGCTGAAAGTAAAGTAAATTGTCCAAGCTCTTAAAAAAATATCACACCAAGCTAGTATATAGTCAGAAACTTGACGAAAACCCTTGCCTATTTGTGCCAACCTCGTCCTACTAGATTACCGACTAGTCTGGCAAACCTAAGAAAGAATGGATTAAAAGTGCTGCGGCCGTTGATGCATGTGCATTTATATTGTGAGAGCATATTTTCTGTCAACTTTTTCACACAAATTACTCCGAGGAGTCCGAACTTTACATTTCAAGTGATCAACAAGTGATTGTTTGCCAGACTATAGTTCCCATGCCAGACTACAGTTCCCATGCTGAGCCTATTGAGCAGCCATTTGGTAGAAAATAGCTATAAGGTCGGCACATCGACTAGGTGCTACCTTCTAGCTCCAAAGTAAACTTCCTAATGTGCTCATTTTTCATACAATGAAGCACATTTTACCATACCAATTTTTATCTTTAGTTTATGATTGCTTACAGTGTGGTGATTGATGTGTTATTATATTGTCTCTTAAAATAATTTTAGACAAACTAGACTCCTTCTGAGTGATCTTTGTCCCTCTGGCGGCAGACAAACAAAATAAAGCAAATGCATTTTAATAGATGACGCTGCAAGCTGGTGCTGGAAAACGGTGATGCTGTCCCCTGCGGCCTGCTGTGAAAGCCGTGGCGTCAGGTTATTTTTATTATAGGCGCACATTGATCCCCGTAAGAATTTAATTAATGTCTTTATAACCTTCTAACTAGTACCTACTTATGTGAGTTTTGCTTGGATTTTTCCCACCTGGCTGGAATCATGAAATGGATAACAATTCGTGACCACTTCTAGAAATTGGTCGTGATACCAAATCTGTCGCCTATCTCATATCTGTAGCTTTTTTACGGAGCGAGCGAAGCGAGTGTAGTCTTTCCTTAGAATAACGGAAATTTCTGAGTATGAGCGGCCGGCCGGCCGGCCGTGCGGACGCTTTTGCGAGGCTTATATCTCAGCAACACTTGACCGATTTACACGCGGTAATTTTTGTTGGGTAGCTTCATTCCTTCTTCCAAGTATTGGACTATTCCCGAAGCGTGTGGGTAACCCCTTATGCACGTGCCACGTGCAAAACGAAGAGGTGTCAGTTTTGTAATTGTTGCAATATCTTGGTAACTACTTGGCCGATTGCGCTGAAAGTTGGCATGTAGGTAGGTACCCACTAGGCACTGCATATCCATGTGCCAGAGTTGGGGTGCTGCTGCACGTGCGCACGTGCAGGGGTCGTTTCCAGATCTCGAGAACGGCTCGACCGATTGCGCTCAAATTTGGTGCACAGTTAGGGACCGGTTAGTAGGGTGCCGTGCAAAAGTCAGTTGGGACCCATTTTGCACGTGCGCACGTGCAGGGTGACGCTTCCAGATCTCGAGAACGGCTGGGCCGATTGTGCCCAAATTTGGCACATCGCTATAGACCGGTTAGTAGGGTGCCGTGCACAAGTCAGTTGGAGGTACCCCCTCGCAATTTCGGACGTGCAAGGCCCACCCTCTCGCTCGTTCCGTTAGTCGCCCCAAAAGGCGTTATACTGGTATTATGATCTTGTGTTTGGCATTTCTTTTTTACTAAGTGCCTACCTACTCTTAAAAGGTCAGCGCCGCCCCTGGTATTAACATTCTTATTACTTTTCCATTTGTTGTACTCTATATAGGTCACCGCCATACCCACTTTCCCTTTTGATGCCATTTCTTGGAGATACCCTTGATAAAGTAGTGCTTTTTGCACTAGTGCCTTGAAAAGCCATGCTTTTGGGGTGGAGAC